GGCAGAAAAAATGCAGCACGGTTAATTGCTAAGATAGCTTATATGGCTACCAACATAAGAAGCATTGCATCCCAAAATGCGACTATGCATGAACTCATCATGCAAATTCAAAATCAAATAGGCTTCCAAATGCCTCCGGGTACCCCACAGTCAGCCTACGACCAACGTCAGCCAGCAGTGGGGCAAAGCCACAGAACCCATTCAAGTAGACAAATAGAGGCTACGGTGGAAAGGGACTTGACAGTAGATGTCTCTTCAACTACGCCTCTGGGCGCCCTGCCAATAACGCGCAGGTCGTAGATGACAACTTTCCCCCGAATTATGAAGAGCAGCCCAAAGGTCCTGAGCGTGTTTGATCAGATCGGACGGATACCTAGGAACAAGAATCGATCCGCCCATTAAACAACCCGACCACAGGAACAAGCACAAAGCCAAATAGTCCAGGTTCTTCCACCTAGGAACAAGCGAGAAAAGCGATGTCTGATAAACTGGGGAAATCAATGAGGGTTGTCCTAGCCCTCACCTCGTTACTTAGCAGATGAGAATGATTCTAATAGACCATGTCGACCCTATGAGCTCGACAACGATGACGACAACCTTCCCTTCTCCAAAGAACTTCGTATTTTTCTCATGCATCATAATTTCTTGAGAAAAGGATCGGTCATGAAAGGATGAACTGAGTAATGTTGCACATCATAATTTAGGTACCTCTGATATTAAATACCATTCGGGAGGAGATTTCAAAAACCACAGGTTATATACAACATTAACATGTCTATATGCATTAAAATGCATGAATTGCTTTTAACAACCGAAAACATGATAGGATTGAAATTATCCACTTTCATCTGGACTTATAAATAGTCAAGCAACAAAACTTGATTAGATAAAGAGGAAACAGTTTCCCCAACACAGTGCGAGTCAGGCCTTACACCTGAACTTCACTGCAATGTCACTCATACACGGAACAAAATTAAACCTGGATATTGCCTGATTGTCGTTTCTGGGTGGCATCAAATATGACTGCAGCAGATTGTGTAATGTCTCCAGGAGATACAAGAGGATCCGACTTGAACTTTGAGAGTGTTTGGTATTGTTCAGATTTAGAGGACGCAAAATCTGGGAGGATGGACTCCTTGTTCGATAACAGCAATGGAACCCCTGAACTCTTGGTGAATTCAAATGTTAGATGTATTTTCTTCTTCTGCTGCTTACAAACAAGTAGTCAAAGCTATGCCTCTTAATTGGCTGGTATTGTATGAGAGATTTAAAATTTACAAGCCGCCTTTGTTTTTCATATGAACAAATAATAAGTGATCTCTGTTTATAAACTATGTAACTGAAATTGTTAGAACTTTATTAAAACTTAAACTTTATGATCTTGCCAAGATCTTCATGTCAAACCATCAAGAAACTGAATTAACGCGGAACATACCTTAATCAATTGATTTCTGACTTGAATAATGAATCTTGAATCTG